ATATTTTCATCATAAGTTTCAATTTGTTCAATAACTATTTAATTCAAATATTAAATTAAAATATTCATCTTATAAATATATAATGCTCATAAAATATACTTTATTAAAATTATATAAATTAACATTAATATCACATTATTTGTTGTCATAATAATATAATAAAAATAACTATATATCATTCTAAATATAAATTATAAATCATGTAAAATATAAATATTTATATATAATATATCAAACACATATATTTTGAAATTTTATAATATTAAAATGTTATTTGACCACCACAGATATAAACTAAAATAACGTCAACATGTATACAACAATTTAACCCCTTCTGATAATTTGTATTAGATAAATGTAATTAAAAGTTGATTTTACGAAAAATAATTTGTTGTCGGACTCCGTTTGGAATTACAAACCAGCCAGCAACAATTGGTGAGCAGGAATTAAAAATAACAATTAAATCAAGAAGAACAAACTATATTTTTAGAAATTCAAGATGGCGACCGAAGAGAAGCTAAAGAGCGGCGGCGGAATGGAACCCTACCATGAAGCCTGCAAGGTCAGCATTAAAATACCCCCATTTTGGCGCGAAAAACCTGAGATTTGGTTTTATCAAATTGAGGTTCAATTTTCCATTAATAATGTAACTAGTGAAAAAACTAGGTTCAACTATTTGATATCGCAGTTAGAACCTAAATATGTTGAAAACTTATGGGACATAATAACCTCGCCAGAGGAAAATAAATATTATTTTGCTAAAGAAAGACTTTTGAATATCTTTAAAGAAAGTGAAACTTCCCGTATCAGACAACTCATTTCAGGAATAGAACTAAGGGATATGAAGCCGAGTCAGCTTCTGCAAAAACTGCGTTCATTGTCTCCGGATGACATTTCTATCAATATGATGAAAACCATCTGGTTAGAAAAACTTCCACAGACCATTAGAAGCATAATTGTTGTAAGTGAGGAAGATTTGGATAAGTTAGCTGTAATGGCAGATAAAATTTCTGATCTAAACCCTTCAGCTGAAATTTGTTGCACTAATAAATCTAATAACAACACTACCGAACTTTAAAAAAAATTGAATCCCTTGAACTACAAATTGAGAAACTTACACTAAATCAACGTGGCAGAACCCGCGAGAGTGGTAGCTCTAGTGGTCGTTTTAACGATCGTAGCCAATCAAGAAAAAGATATAATCCTAAAGGAAAATTTTGTTATTACCACTTCAAATTTGGTAAAAGATGTACCCCTTCAAAATGCATCCCACCATGTGAATGGAGATCGGAAAACTCCATTCAGCAGTAGAATTAGTGGTAAGCTCTGCTGCTGAACAAGCCATCCATTACCGCAAATCTCGCCTATTTGTCCAGGACGAACAAACGGGATTGCGTTTCTTAGTGGACAGTGGTGCTGATGTCAGCTTGATATCCGCAAAAAGTGAAGACAAAAAGCAAGCTGAACTCAAGCTCTATGCTGCAAATGGTACCAAAATTGATACCTATGTTACAAAATTGATCGAAATTGATTTGGGCCTGCGTAGAGATTTCACATTTTCCATTTATGATTGCAAAAATTGATAAGGGAATTTTGGGTGCCGACTTTCTAAATAAATTTAATCTACTAATAAATATACATGGAAAAAATATAATAGATGCAAATACCAAACTAGACGTAAAAGGACAAATATCTGCCATTTCTGAAGAATTTATAGTTAGTGCGACCAACAACACTGATGCAATAACCAGATTGATTTCTAAATACAAAAACCTTTGTACACCCAATTTGGTACCAGCCAAATTATTGCACAAAGTTGAACATCAAATCACAACAACAGGTCCTCCTGTGTTTTCAAAAGCAAGACAATTGGACACAAAACGCCTCAGAATAGCAAAGCAAGAATTCCAATATATGCTGAAAAATGACATTATTCGTCCATCCAAATCTCAATGGGCAAGCCCATTACACATGACGTTAAAGAAAGATGGTACATACCGCTCATGTGGGGACTATCGTAGATTGAATAATATAACCATTCCTTACCGGTACCCCATTCCTAGATTAGAAGATTTTCATCATATATTGAGAGGAAAAATCTATTTTCCAGAATTGACCTTTTTAAAGCATATTACCAAATCCCAATAGCTGAAGAAGACAAGGAGAAAACAGCTGTAATAACACCATTTGGTTTGTTCGAATTCAACGTAATGAGTTTTGGACTCAGAAACGCCCCTGCGACTTTCCAAAGATTTATCAATGAGGTACTATTTGGCCTAGACTTTGTTTTCCCATACATTGATGACATCCTAATAGCTTCCACAAACAAGGAAGAGCATGAAACTCACTTGGACATGATCTTTGAAAGACTTTCAAAGCATGGCCTTAGAATCAATGCCAATAAATCAAAGTTTGGAGTGCAGGAAGTGGAATTCATTGGACATCTGATCACAAAGGAAGGATCAAGGCCTTTACCCTCAAAAACCAAGGCAGTTCAAGAATATAAATTACCTGAAACTATACAAGACTTGCGAACCTTTCTAGGTATGATAAATTTCTATAGAAGATACCTAAAAGATGCAGCCGAAACACAAGCTGTATTACATGAATTCCTGAAAGGTGCCGGAAAAAAGGACAAAAGGAAAATTCCCCCCCCATGGACTACCGAAGCAAAATCTATGTTTGAAAAATGTAAACAAGACCTATCAAATGTTGCAATGCTAACATATCCCAATTCAGAGTTGTTATACAATTTATACATATAACATTCATTGTGAAAAAACAATTACAAATAAAATAATAAAATGATCAGGTGTTGTTATTAAAATAAAAAAGACAAATCCTGACCACGTTCACATGAGCTTTTTAGATGGCATAGCGCCATCTAGCGGAACAGAAATAAACTAAACGTTGATTTAGCCTGTTCCCTGATATTTGGCCAACCCATTTTCTTGATAAATCAAGAAAAGCCAACCCGTGTTTCGGACTGTTGGTCCTTGTTAGCGTGGTGCAGGCTGTACCTTTGGACCTTTGGAAAATCTGATGACATCTTTTATCAAAACTACTTTTTGCCCCCTTCACCCCTTGAGGGGAAGGTTTTAATTTAATATAATCATTTAATTTAATTACCAGTTAAAATAATTTGCTATATTCATGTATAATGCTCCATTTAAAATATATAGGGAGATAAATGGGAGGTTTACACAGTGAGGCCCTTGAAGTCTTCAACCCTTGTTTCATCTTCATGGATCCAACTTGCAACCTCTCTGGCTGAGCAAGTAGTGTGGCCCATTTCCAGGTGACTCCTCGGTTTCCATTCTGCCAGGTGATCCAAAGTCTGCGATTTCTATTTATATTTCTCAACACTCGATCTAGTATATAAGCTCAGCAAATCGTCTAGAGTGCCAAAATATTTTGCACTCTCCATTGTTGAAATTTAAAATGTGAACACAAAAAAGGTAATTGTTGAAGATATTAATCTGTGATTTTAAATGTTTCTTTTTATCCAGTACTTTTGTTTTGTTTTTGCCTTTTTCCTAAAATGTTTTTTTATTCTTCTTCATTATTATTTGTTCTATATGTAAAGCTTTGTTTTTTGATACTTGAATAAACAAATTCAAGTTTATTATATTTTTGTGTGCTTTTAAAGTTAAAACACAACAGGTTATGGACCCAACCACGCATTCACTGCAAAATATAACAAAAACGAAGCAACGGTAAGCCTAAAAAGAATTCTATTTAGTTTATCACGTAAAATTTATATTAGTAATGGCTGGAATGGATAATATTAAAATGGGTATGAATATTCCCAAATTGGAAGGATTAATAAACTGGCCAGAATATAAGAAAAATATAAAATTGCTTTTAACAATAAACAAAGTAATAGGAGTTGTTGATGGAACATATAGAAAGCCAATAAAACAAGAAACAAATGAGGATAAAGAGGCATATGTAAAATGGGAAAGTGATGCAGTCATGGACAATGAACCTTGCGAGGCATGCATTTATGGTAAACAACATAGACTGAGTTTTGGATCAAGAGAACAATATGCTTCTACTCAACCTGGAAACTTAATTCATGTAGATGTATGTGGCCCTATGCAGGAGGTTTCGAAAGAAGGGATGAGATACTTTGTGTGTTTCAAAGATGATTTTACAAAATACCGATCAGTGTATTTCCTAAAAGAAAAGTCACAAGTCATTGAAAAGCTAGAACAATTTCTCTTGGAAACAAAGACTACTGGACATATAGTGAAAGAAATTCTCACAAATGGAGGAAAGGAGTTTGTAAATAAAGAAACCTCAAAATTACAAACAAGTATGGTATTAATCATAGGATCACAATGCCATATACTCTACAACAGAATGGTTCAGCGGAAAGAGAAAACAGGACTTTAATAGAAGCAGCTCGTTCAATGATATATGCCAAAAATATGAGCCTAAAGCTGTGGGCAGAGGCAGTTAACACTGCTACATATGTTTTGCTGAGTGTTTTTATCAGTATCTCTCTGCTATGACCCGGGATCCGCTTTGGGTACTTTTTTCTAAATAGTAAAATGACCCAATGATCCCCGATTTTTGCAAAAGTCCAACCCTACCAGTGAGTGGAGATGTGGGGTGTAATTACAGGAAAAGCAGGCACCAACTTCTACCCACCATGATTATCATGGCCTGTACCACCTGTATTAGGGATCTCTAACAACTTTCCCAAAATGGAACAAAATTTCTTTTGCCCAAATCTGAGACAAAGTTCCTGAGTAGCCCCAGATGTAAACAAGATTTAGTATTTTATCTGCAAAATATATTTTAACAAATTTTTATTTCATTATAAAGGACTGCGGCGTATGATTATAAAACAATTAAAGTTTCACCGCATAAGTTTCTTTTCTGTGAAAAATCAATATTTATTTCAAAGAGAAATATTTACTATTTCTAACTTTTTTGGATGAAGTATGAAAGGGTGAAAATATAAAGAGTAATGGCGAACGGAAAATAAAAGTGTCCAGGGGCGGGAATCGAACCCCTAGTGGACATGGCATCTGCCCGGTAAGCGAAACGTTGTGGGTTCGATTCCCGCCCCTGGACACTTTTATTTTTCCGTTCGCCATTACTCTTCATATTTTCACCCTTTCATACTTCATCCAAAAAAGTTAGAAATAGTAAATATTTCTCTTTGAAATAAATATTGATTTTTCACAGAAAAGAAACTTATGCGGTGAAATTTCAAGTGTTGTTTTATAAATTTTTATTTATTTTTGAATTTTTTTTTTCAAATTCATATTTTGAGCAATGGAAAAAAAACATTTTTGTGTATAATTTACATGCCACTTTTTAAACCTGAAATTAAATCATTATAGATACAAGAAAATAAGACCAAATCCAAATAATTTAATAGTGTGACGTTTCGGTAACAATGCTGTTACCGAAATGTCGCACACTATTAAATATTTGGATTAGGTCTGAATTTCTTGTATCTAAAGTCAAATTTGTGCTTTATCATTAAATCATTTTAGTTATACCTTTTTATAGAATCACAAGGTAACATACTTTTTAGTTTATAAATTAAACTAACTTATGAGAAAGCACCACAATATAGCTACAAGACCAAATGTGACACTTTGGTAACATTACCATGCACTCACACATGAATAATTTATTCTTTTGTCTGATGATGGTAACAACACTGTTGTCAAATTATATTGACAAATATTTGCATTTTTTTAATCTTATCTCAGATTTTAGTGGGAAAAAGTTGTTTGATAGTGAACCAATCTCTCCCGCCTTCTCATTGGACGAATGTGGCCATGTTTGTATATAAAGGGGGTTTAAGGGAATGCGTGGGACCAGTGTGGTATAAAGTTTTGTGTAGAGAGGCTTATAGTGTTCTCTTCGTATTTTTATCAGTGTCTGGTGATCTCTTCGCATTCCCTGTGTAACCCCGCTCCGATCCCTACCTAAGCAGCAATAAAGATAAGTACTGTTTTTTAAATTTTATTTAACCAATTGTAAGTTTTATTTTTTTGTACTTTTGAGTGTAGGCTTTTGTTTGTTTAGTTGCTATCACTTTAGGCCCTAGTTTATTGCATTTTGTGTTAACCTGTACAAAGTAACTTTTTTCACTGTTACTGAAACATCACACTATTAATTTATTTGGATTTGGCCCAATTCTCTTGTAGTTAAACTAACCAAATTTAACCTATATTGGAAAATTTCCCAAGAAAGTAAACAAAAATTGTGCAATTTGGGCACTGATATGTGATGCATTGTAGCACTTTTGTATGGTGCAAGCACGCTAACTTCCGAGTCCCGCATGCCAACGTATTGTAGTTTTATCAATAATTTGTAATTAAACAAGACTCATTAAAAAATCAGCCAAATTAGTTATTTCTTAGGCTGGACATATGGTCGAACTATCACAAGTGTCGCATCGTTGTGTGTTGAATTAACATGGTTGTGGCATGAAACTATTGTAACCAGTTCTGTCCTCCCAGGAGAACAACTGATTTCCAGACTCAAGTCTGGTCATATACTGACAATGACAGAATGGTTGCAGGGTTTTCCCACTATGTACTAAGTGTCAACCTGCAATCCCAAGACATATTATTGACTGTATTGACTCATCCATTGATCAGCTCTACTCTTCCCCGGCAGACACCATCAAAAATCTCAAGCTTTACAAGCTTAGTGTGATTGAGTGGAGATAAGAAAAAAGAAGAAGACTATTGTAACCTGAGTTAAACAGAATTTTATAATTTAACAAAATCAACAAGCAATCCGGGTTCAAGTTTCTTCACTATTTTGATTTCTCTGGCTTTCTGGCCAACATGTCTGTGGTGTATTTAGGATTTAATGATCACACATTTATTTTACCTACTAATGATTTAATAGTTATCATAGCACAAGTTACATTCTATAATAATAATAATAATTACCTATGCAAATTTTGCATTCAGGTCAATGGTCACAAATAATTAAACAATAAATATTATGAATACACATCAGCTCCTTCCCACCTTCAAAAGCCAAATCTCTCGGGGGGGTCTCCTGTCCCTCATAGGATACGCCGCTGGGGCGTCCTATCCTGGTCCGACGCCGAAGCTGCGGAACCGGGCTCCTCTGGTGCAGAGATTCCTAAAGAGGAGGGAATGTTCTCTTTACTGGGAGAGACTGGAATCTCCACAGAACCATCCTCTGCACGGCTCTCATTTCTTGGATAATTTACCAGTTGCTCCGGCAGGAAATATCTCGGAAGCTGGACTAGGCGCGATGTAACTTTTTCTTAATTGGCATACGTGCCGTCTCCATAATCTGCCGTCATTCAATTTAACAGTGTAAAAACACTTTCCAAGTCTACTTACAATTTTTCCCTCCTTCCATTTATTTGGACCCTGAAAGTCTCTGACTAAGATATTCTCGTCCTCCTCAAAATCAGGGGAATATCCCTTTTTAAATCCTGGTTTGACTTCCAATTTTGGCTTCAATAGGTTCCACCTACTTTTAAGCATCCGCTTTAAAAAAAGAACTGCTGGGGCTTCCCTAGTGCTCGAATGTGGTACTGTTCTATATGTGAACAGAAAAATTGCCAAACTCTTATTTAATTCTTCATTTCTCATATTCTTTAAGCTTCTTTTCAGAGTTTGTACAAAACGTTCTGCCAAACCATTGGTAGCTGGAAAATAAGGAGCAGACCTCAAATGATAAACTCCATTTGATTTAAAAAAATATTTCATTTCTTCCGAAACGAATTGAGGGCCGTTATCCATGACCACTTGGTCAGGAATACCATAGCGCGAGAATAAATCTCTCAGAACTCTGATAGTACTTCCTGCGGTCGTGGAATTCATTATAATAACTTCCGGCCACTTCGAATAACTGTCAATGACAATTAAGAACATTTTGTTCATGAATGGACCCGCGAAATCAAAGTGAACTCGATACCATGGTGTAGGAGCAGATTCCCACCTGTGAACACTTTCTTGCTTTAAAGTATCGTTATTTATATTACACTCTCTGCAGACTCTAGTATTTTCCTCTATTTCACGATCTATTCCAGGCCACCAAATAAAATTTCGCGCCAGTGCTTTCATTTTTACAACACCTAGATGTCCTTGATGCAACTCAGTTTTAATTTTCGCTCTGAATTTCCTTGGAATAACTACTCGTGTTCCCAAAAGTAGGATTCCTTGCTCTACAGTTAATTCTTCTCTTCGCAAATAAAACGAGAGCAATTCGGTATTTGATGGCTTATCTTTCCAACCATACAATGTGTTCTGGTATACTATTTTCAAGATTGAGTCCTTGTGCAAGATTCTGACCTAATGTGTCTCGATGTGAGCGGCAATTCTTCACATTGTTTAATCATATGAACTGTATTTACAGCATCTTCTTCCATTTCTTCATATTGTTTTAGTGGCAATCTAGAAAGTCCATCGGCATTGCCGTGGTCTCCAGTTTTCCTGCACTCAATTGTGAATTTATATGAAGACAAGATCAATGCCCATCGCTGTAGTCGTGCAGACATGTTCGATGATATTTCCCGCTTGGGGTTTAGTATATGGTGCAAGGGTTTGTTATCAGTTATTAATTCGAATTTTCTTCCAAAAAGGTAATTGGGAAATTTCTTTAAAGCCCAAATTATACTTAAACATTCCTTATCAATCTGTGAATATTTCTTTTCAGCCCGAGATAAGGTCCTTGAGATAAAATATATGGGACGTTCATTTCCGTCGACATCAATTTGAGACAACACAGCACCGAGTCCGTAGCTGCTTGAGTCACACGACAGACGGATAGGCGATTTAGGGTCATAAGCAATCAATATTTGATCTGAAGAGATAATTTCTTTGATTTGCCTAAAAGCCTTTCGGCATTCTGTTGAAAAATGCCATTTTGTTCCCTTTTTTAGAAGAGCATATAAGGGCGATAAAACATCTGCAGCGTTTCTGATGAATTTATGATAATAGGTAATTAAGCCAAAAAATGCTCGTAACTGGGTTACATTTAGTGGTTCTGGAGCATCCAAAACAGCCCTTATCTTATCATTTGTTTTATGCAAACCCATTTTATCGATCACATGACCGCAATATTCAAGACTTTCTTGGAAAAAATTGCAATTTTCCCTGTTAGCCTTGAGGCCATATTCATTTAATCTATTTAAGACTGCCTCCAAATTTCTAAGATGATCAGCCTCTGACTCTCCGGTAATTATTATATCATCCAGATAAACAAGTGTTCCTGGTATGCCGGACAATATTTGTTCAATTATTCACTGCCATATTGCTGGTGCAGAAGCAATGCCGAAAGGAAGTCTATTATATCTATCGAGTCCTTTATGTGTATTTATTACAGCCATTTCTTTTGAATTTTCGTCCAATTCTAATTGTAAATATGCCTGGGACAAATCTATTTTACTAAAATTTATTCCTCTTCCGAGAATGGCAAAAATGTCCTCTATTTTTGGTAGTGGATATTGGTCAATTTTAAGGACAGGGTTTAGTGTTATTTTGAAATCTCCTCAAATACGAACATGGCCATTCTTTTTCATTATAAGAACTATAGGCGTAGCGCAATCGCTTCTTTCTATTTTTGTAATTACTCCTTGGGCCTCAAGATTTTCCAATTCTTTTTCAATGGCGTTTCTCATTACATAAGGAACATTTCTCGCCCTGAAAAATCTAGGATTAGCATCTTTTCTAAGAATCAGATGCGCCTTATGATCCTTAATTACACCTACATTTGAAGTGCCAAAAACCTCTGCAAATTTATTTACCAAAGAGGAACATGTTGTTTCTTGGACTAAATTTATGTCCAGAATTTTAAAAATTTAGCAGGCAAGCACTTGATCCAAGTAGTGCCCAACAATACAGGCCTATTTGCTTCAGTTATAATCAATGGAAGACTTTTGTTGGTCTCTGTTACGAACACTTCTCTTTTGCCAATAACATCAATCTTCGTATTTGAATATGATTTAAGATGTAAATTTATAGGAGATATTTTCTTATTCCACAATTTCTTATATATATTTATTGGCATCAACGTGTGAAAACTACCTGTTACAAATTCAAACTGTATATTTTTGTTGTCCAC